CCTTTAAGTGATTTCGAAACACATTCTATGATGTTCTCTGTCTTTCTAAATACAGAAATAGGCCTTGTTAGGCCTTGTAAGCAATTTAAATGTTTGGAAAAATTTAAATCCTTTAAATCTCACTCTATTTGACCTTTTAGTGATTTCAAAACACATTATATGATGTTCTCCATTTTTCAAAATACAGAGATAGTCCTTGTTTTTACATTTGGAAACAAATTGAATTTTTTGAAAATTTTAAATCGTTTGAATCTCACTCAATTTGAACTTTGAAAGATTTCAAAACACATTGTATGATATTCTCCATCTTTCAAAATACAGAGATAGTCCTTGTTTCAACATTTAAAAGCAATTTAATTTTTTTTGAAAAAATTTAAATCCTTTAAATCTCACTCTATTTGACCTTTGAGAGATTTCAAAACATATTGAATGATGTTCTCCACCTTTCAAAATACAGAGATAGTCCTTGTTTTTATATTTGGAATCAATTTAATTTTTTTGAAAAATTTAAATCGTTTAAATTTCACTCTATTTGACCTTTGAAAGATTTCAAACTACATTGTATGATGTTCTCCATCTTCCAAAATACAGAGATAGTCCTTGTTTTAACATTTGGATTTAATTTAAATTTTTTGAAAAATTTAAATCCTTTAAATCTCACTCTATTTAACCTTTGAGTGATTTCAAAACACATTGTATGATATTCTCCATCTTTCAAAATACAGAGATAGCCCTTGTTTCAACATTTAAAAGCAATTTAATTTTTTTGAAAAATTTAAATCCTTTAAATCTCACTCTATTTGACCTTTGAGAGACTTCAAAACATATTGAATGATGTTCTCCACCTTTCAAAATACAGAGATAGTCCTTATTTTAATGTTTAGTTTCAATTTAAATTTTTTGAAAAATTTAAATCCTTTAAATCTCACTCTATTTAACCTTTGAGTGATTTCAAAACACTGTATGATGTTCTCCATCTTTCAAAATACAGAGATAGTCCTTGTTTTAACAATCAAATCACACCTCATCGAAATTGGACGAAAGACCCACTCGTTGCTCGCAACGAGATCGCATCTAGTTATTATTCTTATTTTTTAGACAAATTTTGTGCACGCAATATCTCGAGAACTGTTCACTGGTTTTTCATCAAACTTTCAGAGATAATGCGCTATAAAATGCCATTGTTACATTTGAAAGAATTTGGGAGAAATTCGCTTCCGGTTCCAAGTTATGGACACTTTTCTGATTTTAAAATGAAATTTTTTCCGCGCGAGATCTAAAGAACGGCTAAATATATGAACTGGAGACTTGTTGGAGAGCACAGAACATGACTTTTAAATGTGCGGGTTTGCCTTTTCGTGCGTCGGGAATACTTCCGGTCGCTACCGGAAACGAATTTAAAAAGTCAATTTTTTCAACTTTTACGTTTTTCAATATTTTTCTTTGATTCTAATAGGGTTAATAGAGACTCTGATTGTAATGCTTAATATATAATTTGTTTTTAAAATTGTCTACCAGAATACATTTTAAAAATAGATTTTTTAGACAAATCTTGTACACGCAATATCTCGAGAACTATTCAATGGATTTCCATCAAACTTTCAGGGATAATGCGCTATAAAATGCCATTGTTACGTTTGAAAGAGTTTTGGAGAAATTCGTTTCCGGTTCCAAGTTATGGACTTATTCTGATTTTGAAATGAAATTTTATCCGCGCGAGATCTAAAGGACGGCTAAAGATATGAATTGGAGAATTGTTGGAGACCTTAGAACGTGACTTCTAGATTTGCGGGTTTGCCATTTCGTGCATCGTGAGTACTTCCGCTCGCTACTGGAAGCAAATTAAAAAAGTCAATTTTTTCAACTTTTACGTTTTTCAATATTTTTCTTTGATTTTAGTAGGGTTATATTCCTTTATAGATGCACGTTACCGAATATAATAGGTATCAGATTGTTTGAGCGTCATATGGCTAGACATGTTTTGTTGCAAAACATTCAAGTCTTTTCATTAATGTGTTACTAATTGGAATAGTCCACTTTGTGGGTAAAGGGAAATATAAAATGTGTAAGAAAACTTAGCCCTGCCTTTATGTTACTTGCCCGTATACGAAATGTTAAATGCACAGTGTGATGAATAAACATTCTTAGGCTTGAAAATCAGGCTATAGCAACGTATTTTTTTTTAAATTTCATTGAAGCTATCACGTACACTTATTCAATTGAAGACACATTTCAAAGAAAAGGTGCGAAGATTTACTCGTGACGTTTGGCGCGAAATAATGTTTCTTGACCCGCCTTTCACAAATGGTCTAATGCAGTACTCTAGAAGTACATAAAAAGATTACACGGACATGTCTGTATTTGGAATTGCATAGAATAGAAAGTTGAATGCATAAAGAATAAAGGAAGTAAACACAATAGTTTTTTTTTTTAGTTTTTATCAGTAACAGATTATTTTCTCTGCTATCAGTTATTGTTAAAACTCAAGTAACAAATCCCATGTAAATCTACTAGCACTTGCACAAAATTTAGCTGGCTAGTTTTCATCCTATAATTCCGCACTATAAGAAAACAAAATTAACCTGCCTGACACTCGTTACTTCAGGGAATGAGTGCAAGGTAAACATCGATGATGGCTGGTACATTGCACTAGTGTAGTGGTTTCAATATTAAAGAACAAGGTTCACTTAGGGCCTTTTTTGGCCCTGTGAATTTCAGAAAAACTGAAAATACTTGGTTTTAGTTGAAAATGCATTAAATATCATTTAGACATTTGATGACTGCGTATCTATCAAAAATGACGTAATTTTCTGGCTAGCCTATGCATTGAGACATCATGAAATGCGTCATTTTCCTCGTATCCTGAAAATTTCTACAAAACAGCCAATTGTTAAAGCTATTTTTCGAATATAGGACCTAATCTGTGATCTTAAATATGCAACTATTAAATGATAGAACTATTTCTGAGGATTACAAAACCTGTTTTATTTTTTAGATCAGAGGATGCGCTCATATTATTTCTCTTCTTTCTTTTTTAAACTAAAACTTGCATCACTTTATTGCATATCTTTCGCTGTTTTGAAATATGCTAGATTCCACCGGAAATAAAACGTCAACTTCCGGTCTATTGATCGGCAACAGTAAACGACTGAAGTCTAAAACTTTCAGGACTGATAGTCAGTCATCAGTTTATTTGAATCGTGACAAAATCTTGTATCGCCGTTACTTCCGGTCGTGACAGGAAGTGATGCAAAAAAGGGAATGGTTAATGGTTAGCACGTTGGATTATCAGGCTGACGACCAGGTTAAATCTCCAGAGTGTCTGAATTTCTTTTATCACCTTTTCAGCTTGAGTTTTCTTTTTTTTCAGAATCGGACGGAAGACCTCTCATTGCTCGCAATGAGTTTCTAGTTATTATTCTTATTTTTTAGACAGATTTTTTGCACGCAATATCTCGAGAACTATTCAGTGGTTATTCATCAAACTTTCAGGGATAATGCGCTATAAAATGCCATTGTTACATTTGAAAGAGTTTTGGAGAAATTCGTTTCCGGTTCCAAGTTATGGACATTTTTCTGATTTTGAAATGAAACTTTATCCGCACGAAATCTAAAAACGGCTAAAGATATGAACTGAACAATTGATGGAGAGTATAGAACATGACTTCTAGCTATGCGGGTTTGCCTTTTCGTGCGTCGTGAGACTTCCGGTCGCTACCGGAAGCGAATCAAAAAAGTCAATTTTTTCAACTTTTACGTTTTTCAATATTTTTCTTTGGTTTTAGTTGGGTAATATTCCTTTATAGATGCAAGTTACTGAACATAATAGGTATCAGATTCCTTGAGCGTCATACGGCGAGACGTGTTTTGTTGCGAAGCATTCAAGTCTTTTCATTAATGTGTTACTAACTGGAATAATCCACTTTGGGGATAAAGAGGAATGCAGTGTGAATGAGATAAGGCGTGTGAACGACTATATAATTTCGTGCAAATGAATTAATTTTTTTTTTTACGATCGACACAATACCTTTATCAGAAAAAGAAAAAAACGCATGTCTTATATATACAACGGTTTTGTTTTTCCTGTTTTTATTTTCTTTTTTTTCTCAAATTAAAACAAGTTATTAAAGAGGGTAGAATTTCACAGAATGGATCATAATTACCATTGATTTTTGGAGGTTCAGGAGTAGTCTTGTTTTGATCATAATCACATGATACTCGAAGGGGTATATTCCTGTAGGTCTCCCATCCTCTTCTGTTTATATGAAAAACAAAATCTGTGTTTAACAGTGTATTGAACAATTAAAAAGTCCATTTGAAAAATTCTTCATGTATATTTAAAATTATGCAATGTGTATTTGTAATCCGTTACAAGGACCATGCATCCCCTTCATTTAGCTTTCTTTCTTTTTTACACTGCACCATGTTTCCACCAATTTACAATACCTTTCCACACACACAAAAAAAGAATTACGACTCATCCCTTTCATTGGGTTTGCAAACATTCTGAAGTAATTGATTATACTTTTAAGCTTTCCAAAACATTCTCGCTTAAATTGACATTTCCTTGTAATACACAAAGTGTTGGACTTACAGGTGGGAGAATAAACGGGGGGGGGGGGGGGGGTCGACTTCACGCATGAGTGAATTGCTCTTGAGAACCCACGGCCAACTCAAAGCGAACGCACATCAAAACCCAGGGTAACCCAAAGCACATACCTAAAGTTTTGAACTGCAGACCTGAGAAAACACAAAGCAAACCTAGGGCTCGCTTTAGGGGTCGCTCTCGGATTACATGTGTAGGTCATGTTTTGTCGATATTGTATATAATGAATACTGTTCACTTATTATATACAATATTTTTACTAAATATACAGTAACTTATCCAGGCTGTTTGTTCAATTTATTTCTAATCTTTAAGAAAAAATATCAAAATAACTAACAGGTAGTATATTTGATCATTTTGCTATTTAAAAAATTTCCTTTTCTATTTGGAACAGGTCAATATGACCAAAATAATTGTCCTGCTTCTGACACAAACTGTGTGCCTTGTATGGAGAGACTGCCCAGCTGTGTAGGTCTGCCAGATGGCAACAATATCTTTCCAACTAGGGCATACACAAGATGGTATATAAAGTGCTACCAGAATCGAACTTTAGAAGTCACACGCTGTCCACCCAATACCATATTTGATATCACTACGTACACATGCACTTCTTCAATCGTTGGAAGTATGTATTCTATTTTATAAGCATAATTATACATTAAAAGAATTAAGTTTGCTTTAAAAATAATTTGTTTATACAGATGGCAAAAAAAAAAATAATAAAAAAATAAACACTGATAGAAATTTTAAGAAATCAAGATAATGTACATTGTGGTCTTGTGGTTTTAGTGCATTTATTCACTTTCAAATAACTATGTCGATGACCCACTTTTCAAACTAGTGATCTCTGACTATTTCTTGGAAAATCCCTCAAACTTTTTTTCTATGTCCCAAATTTTCTTTATTGGCAAAGTGCAACAAGTTATAAAACTCTCTGGAGAATGAGATATATTTATAGTAATGAGGAAAGTGCTGCTAAAGCGAAAAAAAAATAAATTTAGAACAAAAAAAATATTTCAACGATTATATGCATTAATGCCTGCTTTTTAAACAAGTCATATTTAATTCATAAAACATTTCCTCTTATCCAAATTTCCTCTATAATTTTTTTTTAATCCGACCTATTTTTATCTAATTTTACCAAAAAAAAAAAGGAAAAAAAGAAAAGAAAAAACCTGAATGATGGGATCTCTAAAGTATTAAAGGCATGATTATACTTATATTACCATTGTTCGGCTGGTATTAAAATTATGGTAAGTCAATAATCAAATTTTTGAAATATGAGTTTCATTTGAATGGCTTTTATTTATAATTATTATTTCAGATTTTTTTTTTCATTGCGTGTCATATCCAGTTATTTGAAACAATACATGAGCTTAAACAAACGTAATTTATGCGAAATTATATTGAAAAACACAATTTTTTTTGGGGGGGGGGGATTAATTGGGTGAAAAAAATGTGGAAAAAATGAAAAAAAAAATGAAATATAGGATTTATTCATACACTACTACATTACCCTTTTAGTAAACCGCAACAAAAAATGGCGATGTCAGGCAATGATACGGTAAAACAAATTTCGGCTATTCTTTAATGTGTGAGATTGATTACTCGATGACTAACAGAAAATCAAATGCAGTACCACGAGGTACGTTTTGACGTCGTCAGTGTTGCGCCCCGCAGCTATTTTGCAAGATTCGTTTAACTAAAATAAAAATGTTATTCACAGAAATTTCCACATAGTTTTAGAAAAAAATATTGATTATGGTGCATGCCAATTTTTAACCTTGTTATATTAATGAAATTAAGAAATAGGCGAAATACGCGAGAACGTAGTTTGCGGCGAGATGCAATTCGCAAAGCATTATGGGACCACAGGTAACTGCGGGAAAAAATCGTTTGGATCAATGTGCAAGGTCTGAATTTTCTCTTCGCCCAGGCGTTGCTTTAAGAGCTCGCAGTAACGAGCGGTGCAGCCGCTCGCTGCGCTCGCTATTAATTATAGATAGTGCCCAAATGGTAAGGTTTTTGAATATTACAGTTATAATAAAAGAGTTTAAATAAAATGTTGGAAATGTATGCTTTTATTTGCTTTTATTTGATATTAATGTGACAGATGAGTGGAAGGAGTTCTGCATGGTCAATCCACGTGCCATTAAACCTCATCGTGTAAACTGCGCACAGTTCCATAACTGTACTGCTGTTGTGTCCGGAGAAGGGTCTTTGCTGCAAGAGTGTAGATATCCAAATCTCTTTTCTCAGTCCTCTCTTAGGTGTGCTGATTTCCAGTCTGTGTCATGTGGTGCTAGGCATGAGCCACAGACACCGTGTAAGTATTTGAAATACATTGGAATCCCAATTCTATGAAATCTTTCATCACCATGTAGTCAAGGACTTCTCAAGCAAGGAAAAAAATAAAAATTAGAAATTCTGTTTTTGCTCAAACTTATAGGTGAGTATAGGGAAAACTTGTGCCAGCCCAGTGATAAGAAATGTCAGCCTTGTCCGATTCGTCTGCCCAGCTGTTTAGGACTGAGTGATGGCCAGCACGCCCATCCAAGTCATCTTTGGGGTGAAGACTACATTGTCTGCTTTCAAAATAGAACACTTGAAGTATTACAATGCAGAGAAGGATACTTCAACCCAAGGACGCGCAGATGCTCTGGCTTTGTTGACCCAGGTTAGTACAAGCACCTGATTTCAAATAAAATAAAAAGAATGTACAGTGGCGCCTCGTTTATCCGGACGCCCCCATCCCCAACGAATAAAAACGTCCGAATAAATGAATCGTCCGGATAAGGGAATCGCTTCTTTAAAAAAAGACCTTCTCCAAGCATGTGAATATGCACATACAGATATTAAATGTGAATGCAAAGGAAAAAGAAACTTTGGTATTTTGGTTTAATGTTTAAGTTTTTATTTTTTAGCTTTAAAAGAAGTAATTCAGTAAAGAAAAAGTATATTAAAATGTAATTTACACAATAAAAAAAATTGATAGGCAATTTTATGCTGAGACCTTCTTTTTAATGCAGAGAATTTTATTTGGCTTTTCAAATATGACAAAACTGTTCAGCATCATCATTGAAAATGTTTAGATAAAAACTAACCCCGTATATTCCCGTTTATTCTTTACACAGGGCCACTATAGTAAGTGAACACTGCAAGCTAACTCACACACGCGCAACCAGTGAAAGTATTGTTAACATTCAACGTAAACACAAGCAATCTTAATGATTATCAATAATTTTTCTAGAGACTCTAAGTTTAGTTTAAAACAAGATGTGTTTGTGAAACACTGATCCCCCCCCCCCCCGTATGGCAGCTTATGGCGAAGGTTAAAGTTTCTCAAATGCAAGTCAAACTCCAGTTCTAGAGATCAAAAATGTTGGTACCCAAGAAAGGTCTTGTCTCGAGGAATATACTTGTGAAATTTGAAAGCTCTAGCTTCAACTGTTCAAAAGTTATGGTGAAGGTTAAAGTTTTTTAAAAGCAGACGTCAAGGTCAAATGGGGCCACAAAGGAAGGTCTAGTCACAAAAGATACAAATGTTCGTGAAATGTGAAAGCCCTAGAACCAAACGTTCACATGTTATGGCTAGGTTAAAGTTTTTTTTAAAAGTAGGTCAAACTCAAAGGTCAAGATCAATGCCAAAATTGTTAGTATTCAAAGGAAAGTCTTGTCCCAAGGAATGCACATGTGAAGTATAAAAGCCGTAGCACCAAACGTTTAAAAAGTATGGCCAAAATTAAAGATTTTCAAAAGTAGGCCAAACTCCTGGGTCAAGGTCAAAGGTTCAAAGTGGTTGATATCCAAAGGAAGGTCTTGCCACAAGGATTACATATGTGAAGTATGAAAGCCCTAGCACCAATCATTCAAAAGTTATGGCCAAGGTTAAAGTTTCTCAAAAGGAGTTCAAACTCCTAGGTCAAGGTCAAAGAGTCAAAATGGTTAATATCTACAGGAAGGTCTTGTCACAAGCATTGTTTGTGAAGTATGAAAGCCCTAGCACCAAAAATTAAAAAGTTATGGCCAAGGTTTAAGTTTTTCAAAAGTAGGTCAAACTCCTAGGTCAAGGTCAAAGGGTCAAAGTGGTTGGTATTCAAAGGAAGGTGTTGTCACAAGGAATACACATGTGAAGTTTGAAACCTTAAACTGTTCAAAATTTATGGCCAAGGTTTAAGTCTCATAAAATTTTGCAAAAGATGGTCAAACTCCAAGGTCAAGGTCAAAGGTCAAATATGATGGTACCCAAAGAAAGGTCTTCTCACAAGGAATACACATGAGAAATATGAAAGTCATAGCTCCAACCAGTCAAAAGTTATGGGCAAGGTTAAAGTTTTTGCGGACAAACAGACAGACGGACGGACAGTGCAAAAAACTATATACCCCGAATCTTCGATACGGGGGCATTAAAACAGTTTCTGATTATTTTTTTTTATACATTAAACTTCTACAAGGATACAAAGTAATGCAAGCTATTTAACCGTGTCATTATTTTTTTTCATCTTTATCTTCCTTCTGATCTTGACCTTACTATTACTAATTTTGTGTTTAGCTCAATTTTAAAGCTATATTGAAGATATTTTATCAAAACGCCCACTCTAATGCATATTAATGCTATCTATCCAACTGTGTCATGATTTTTTTTTTCACATTGACCTTAATAACAACTTAAGAAGAACTATTCAACAATGTCAAAATTTTCTGACCTTGACTTTCCGTATGACGTTGATATCACTGTTAATTGGTTTTGCAATTAGCCCAGTAAAAAAGAAAGTGTTCATCATGTTCTTCTGAAAAACCACACCCGCCATGTGCTCCTTGACTTGATAGGGGAAAACGGAATAATCAATAGACAATTTAGTGTGTAAATATTAAAATTACCTAACAATTGGTATTGAAAACATCTGTCAGAATTTGACTTAATGATAGATTGTATTAGCTGACAAGGTCATTGTATCGTCCATAGAAATAGCACAATGATGACTTTAAAGAGACTGTTGATATTCGTGTTTCATCAACTTGTTTGAGAATAACTTACCTTGTTTTAGAAATTGTTCTTACGTAGATGAAATGTTGTTTTACAACCCGTAGCGTCTCGTCACCAAGATCTTGAATCTGCACCAAAGACCAATCTTTAATGAGCAAGTAAGGAATACTTTTTTTTCATCCAAATGCCTGCCGTTCCATGGGGCCTCTGTTTTAAAGTGCCGAGCACTTGGCAAATAGCAGTTCCTATCTAATTTTTTTCCGACTTAGATCAGTTACAGCCGGGTTTGAATCCACGACCTTCCGGTCACTATGAAAAAGAAATTTTAAATTCTTTACTTTCCTTTGCGAGAACTTGTGTGTGTGGGGGGGGGGGGTCATTTGATTTAATGGACAAAATTAGAATTTTTGATTATAAATAAAATTAATTTTCCTAATTCATTATTAATCTAAAATTAAAGGGACTTTAGTTTAATATTTTATTGTTCTAAGAATAAATTCTGTTAAACAAATTAAATTGGAAATTGAATTTCCATATCTCTATGGTTCAAAAAATTGGCATAAATTAAACAATAGGTACTGATCTGATTGACAGGTCAGCTACCTGTGCTGCCTGATGTTCTGAGTTTGGATGTTTCGCTGACAATTACCTGACCACGCGACAACCTCTTTTAAGTGCCCCGCTTGATTTGTCGCTTGGGTCCACAGAAACTCAATTCGCCGTCGTAAAGCCCCCCCCCCCCTCTAAAATGAATCAACACAAAATGGAATAAAATAATTGAAAGAAGATGATTAGACACTGATGGCATGAATAAAGTTTGAAAATTATGAAAATTCCTTTATCACAAGTTCTATTGGTGGATGCAAGTGTTTTTAAAAAAGTCACAAATAGTACACATACGTAAATATTGTATTTCGTATACAATAGATTGGGGTTTATTTTTAAATTACATTATCTTCGGATGGCATTTGTTTTTATTTAAGAAATTTGGATCACCAAAATTTTCAATTAATCTTCACCACGTAGTGGAAGAAATGTCAAAATCATAGTTCGAATTTCCTCTAAATTCCTTGTTCGTAAACGAACGATTTTATTTTTATTGTACATAAATGACCTTCCATTACATGTAAAAAATTCAAAAGTTGACATGTTTGCTGATGATATATCTCTACATACTAACAATCATAATCTAAAATATCTAGAAAATGTGTTGAACTCAGATATTTGTGATTGATTGATTGATTGTATATTGTTTTACGTCCCATTCGAGATTTTTCACTCATATAGAGACGTCACCATATACATGTACCGGTGAAGGGCTTCAAATTTTGACCTTTACTCGGCACTCAGGGCCATTGAGCAGTGAGGGATCTTTATCGTGCCAACGCCTGCCGTGACACGGGGCCTCGGTTTTTAAGGTCTCATCCGAAAGACCCGCAACTTTCACTCCAAAGTGCCGAGCGCATGGCGAAGGAACAGTTGCTACCTATTTTTTATCGACTTAGGTCTGTCGCGGCCGAGATTCGAACTCACGACCTCCCGATCACGGAGCGAGCGCTCTACCAACTGAGCTACCGTGAACGGTTTCAGATATTTGTGAAATTGAAAAATGGTGCTCTCAGAATCAAATGGTATTGAATGTAGATAAAACAAAATGTATGCTAATGGGCACGCAGCAGAGATAATCCAAACTAATCAATCCAAATTTACAACTTTTTATGCTTCAGACAAAACAATTGAGATGGTTGAGATTGAGAAACTTCTAGGTATACACATTGATGGTAAATTACAGTACTCTGTTCATGTAGACTCAGTTTGCAAAACCTTAAACTACAAGTTATTTACATTATGCAAGATAAAAAAATTCTTCTTTTACATACCAGAAAACTGTACTACAATGCATATATTCCACCTTCAATTAATTACTGTTTCACTGGGAAATGCACCCCAAAACAGTATTGAAAGAATATTTAAGGACATACGCAACGTAGTTTGTCTTTTTCCCTGGAGTTGAAGAGTTCCAATACTTAAAGGAACTATGTGCTTCATTTTAATGTCTATATATGCTATTGTACACTTCTTCTAAAACAAGTTTGGATAAACAAAACATCTAGAATATATTTTTAGTAATTTTTGTATGTTTTTCTTTGAATTATACAAGAATTTTCATCAATTGATATCTTTTCAATACCCCTGGTAATGTATGCTGATTTTTTGCTTACGAACATCTGATTGCACTATAATTTTAAATTAAGAATATCTCAAAAACTTATCAGTAGGTAAGGTACGTTGCGTATGTCCTTAAATTACAAAAAAGGGCCGCCAGGATTATTCTTGTTGCAAATCCTGATTCTTCTTCTAAACCATTGTTTGAGAAACTTGGCTGGCTGACAGTTTATGAACTATGTGATCTTACAAATACATTTTATTATTCAAAATATTCAGTGGTATGACTCCTGAATATCTTTGTGAGTTATTTGAATTTCACTCTTCAACTTCTTATATTCTGCGATCTGAATCAAACTACTATCTTAGATTTCCAAAATTCCGTACAAACATATTTAAGACCTCTTTTCAGTACTCAGGTGTACATCTGTGGAACAAACTACCAAAACAAATCAGGCTTTCTCAGTCTCTACGTCAAGCTTTTAAATGTAAGGTAGAAAATTACATTGTAAGCCGTCGAATAA